GGGCCCCGCGAGTCTTTTCTTTTCCTTCAGCTGTTAAAGAAACCGGTGACTTTGTGGCGGCGCCGTCACCCGGGGGGGAGAGAAACCAACAGCTGTTCTGCCTCTTTCCTCTCCCCCCGTGAAATCCAGGGGTGTTGGCATGAGAGGGGGGAGAGCCCGGCGGGACAGGGACACTTGGCATCATGCTGGCTTGGGATGTGTCACCTCTCCCCGCTCCTCCTGCTGAGGGCTCAGGAGCTGGTCAGGAAGCACTTCCTTTGCCCTGCACTCCGAGCTGTGCACTGACTGGAACAGGCAGCCCAGCCTGGACTTTTCGAGTTTAACTTCGGCATAAATCCTGCCAGAGAATCCAGAATCCTGCCAGTGCCCTTTGCAAGCCAACCACTAGGTCCTTTCTGAACTGTGACCTCCAGAGATGGGTGCACACATCTTCACATTCTCCTATCTAGAAGACACTCCTCATGGAAGACTTTCTGGGGAGAGCTTTTGACACCAGCCTTTCTCAAGTGGAGCTGAAAAAGGAGTTCTTCAAAGTTCCTGGAGTAGGAGCCCCCAAAGGGACAGGATGGCTGTGAGCTTGGATGATGATGTTCCCCTCATCCTCACCCTGGATGAAGGGGGAAGTGGCTCCTCTGCCCCCCTTGGTGACCTGGATCGGGAGGAGCTGCCTGATGAAAGTAAGAGATTGCTTTGTCCTTGTTTCCTGCCCCCTGTGGTGGCCTCCCTGGTGTTTCTCCCTGTGGTGGCTGCTCTTTCTTGCCCTTGCCAGGACCCAAAGCTCTGTCAGGCAGTGTCTCAGCCTGAGAAAAGCGGATCAGGAAGGTGCTTATTGTGATACTTATTTACTGACAGCACCCGTGGGACACGGGGAGGGCAGAGGACACTGGATAGATGGGTCCTGCTGATGCTTCTTTGTGGTTTCTGTGTACTAACCTGTGACCTTGCTGTCCTTAAGCTCAGCTCCCTTTCCCACTGGCATTTCCAGAGTGTCTCCTTCTCCTAGCAGTGCTCAGCTCAGGAGCAGCAGCTGCAGTGGTGTCGTGTAGTGTTTTTCTTGCACCATAAAGCCTCTGTCCTTTGCAGCTGTTGTTTGGCCCCTTTCTAGTTTACATTCTGATTTTTGCAATAAGGAAAGTGTTGATAAATCTCTTTAACATCTTTATTGTGTTCTTATCAAAGAGCCTGGAGTACTTTGAGATGATTTATCTATACTCCTGGTAACCCTGGGTGTTCAGTGGGACAGACCCAGCCTGTGATTGTTGGGAGGGAGAAAACAAGCACCTCTATCTCTTAGCAGAGGTGCTTTCTCCTCAGGAGATCTTTGGTGAAGCCATCACCCTGCAGCAGATGTGTCTGAGCACGTTCAGGGAGCTTTTGGTCGATGTTACTCCTCACAGAAGGTGTTGGAGCAGCCTTGCTCAACATGCCTCTGACTTCCAGCTGACATTGCAGGTGGATGCCCAGGCCCTGGGAGCCTGTTCAAGGCCTTCCTGCCACAACCTCAAGTAACAAATAATTTCCTGGCCTGGCATCTGTTTTGTTTTGGTTTTTTTCTCCATCGTACCTCCTTCCCATGCACCTTTGTGATTTGATTTCTCTCTTGCAATCATATGGGTCCTCTTAATTTTCTCCTTCTGTGACTCTTAAGCCAGTAGCTACTTTCTGACAGTCAGGATTCCTTCTCCTCTCCCAGCCCAGCCACACACATTCCTGCCTAAATTGCCCAGCTGAGGTTATCTAAGCTTTGCTGCATTGTTGCTCCACCACATCTGCTCTGTTGCATCTGTTTCCCTTTAAAGTATAGCTCTCTGTTGTCAAGTTAAACAGAAGAGAGAATGCTTCCTCTGTCTGGGAATGTATTAATGGGCTTTCTTGTGACTCATTTTAATTGCTCTTCTCCCCATCTTCTTCCTCCACCAACCTCCCATCCCTTTAAAGAAGTTATGTGAGGTTTGGCATTTGCTTGAAGCCAACATGATTATGTCAGAGCACAGGGATGAGGTTGAACGTATTAATAAATAAAAATATCCCACAATTTGCTACAGGGAAATTGTGGAGGGACCAATTTTGTGCTGCTTTATAAGATTGCTGTGTGGCTTTTGTGCATGAATTTCCTGGGATTCCTGGAATGAAGTGCCTATTGGTGTGGAAGAACAGTTATTTTGGCTTAGATGTTTTAAAGCTGAATTGGCTGAAGAAAGATAAAGCTTATTCTGTGTGAGTGATACTGAATGATATGGAGGCTTCTGAATCAGGGGGTGCTGAGACTTGGCTGAAGGATTAGGGAGGGAAGGCAGGAATAAACAACTTGAAAGGCACGTTGATCTTGGGGAAGCTGGAAGCTTAAATGAGGCAGGGAGCAGCCTCACCCCGTGGCTTGTTTCAGCAACAGAACGTGTGGCCCAGCTTTCCTCTCTGCCTGCAAGGAACATCTGCTGTGAAATGCTGCAAAGCTGTGTCTCCTAGAGGCTTGAGGGACTCGAGTGTTTCTTCTCTGCCTCCACTGAAGTGGCATCAACAGAACTGTGTAATTTTGTGGTTTTCTTTAGAGGCTTTTCCTTTTTTTTTTTTTTTCAGGGAAAAAAGAGTATGTGAGCAGTCCCTTTCAGGAGAGGAAGAATCTGCCAGGGTGGTGATGAGGGCAAGGGGACAGGGAAGGCAAAGAGGCTGGTTGTTTCTGGTTTGGTCTGCCTTGTGCCTGCATTCTTGGAAGAGAATATTCACCCAGAATTTGGAGGAATGGCTCCCTTGTTACTGCACCTCACCACCCACTCCTGGGGATTTAGTGGCAGGTTTAACATGAAGTTTTATTGACCTGTGACCCCCAGATACCAGCTGGGACTGCAGTGAAAGACCCATCCTCCTCTTCCCAGGTGACACCAAGGGAAAGACAAAGTTGAGTGTAACCACCCTTACGCCAAATTAAAACCTCAGAGGTTGATGATAATTAAGTCACACCCCAGTTCTGTGTTGCCACATCATGAACCTCTCTAAATTATAATCCCTATTCCAGTCTCTCTGAGCACTGTGTACTGATGTGGTTCTCATATTTTTCAGGAACTTCTTGAGTCAACCAAACTTGATCCATCTGGCTTTGTTCTCTCCAGGTCCTTGGACAAAAGAATTGGTGGTTTTGGGCTCTTGGTGTTGATTGTCTGGAGATTCAAGGCCAGGTTGGATGGGCAACCTGGTCTGGTGGGAGGTGTCCCTGCCCACACTGGGGGGCTGGATCTAGATGATCCCAAACCATTCCATGGCTCTATGAAATACAAATTCCTGGGTTGAAATAAGCAGTACTAGGGTTTCTTGAAAGCAGCCCTGTTGCAGGTGTAAGAAGAAAAGGCTGAAGTGCAGGGATAGATTCCTTTCCAAATCTGGCAGAAGGGTTGTCTTGTGGTTGAGTGAGTGCCTGGGGGTTAGGGTAAAAGGAAGCTAAAGGAGAAAACTGTCTGGAAAATGACATTCTCAAAGAAAATGTCCAGCTGCAAAAATTAATCTCCCTCATCATACAAACCTTAAGCACTTAATGGCAGAAAATACTTGCACTGGGAGGAAAACTAAAGCTCTGCCTTCCTGGTGCTGGGATCCACATCCTTCAGGGAGCTCCTGTTTCCAGCCCCTGTGGAAGGTCAGAGCCCTGTGAAGTTGACAGGAATTCAGACCACATTCAGAAAAGTGTGGTTTCTGTGGTGCTGTTGTTTCTCTGACTACAACATGAAGCACTCAGGGTGATTTTTCTCACAGGCTCCAGCAGCTGAAGGAGGCAGAAGTGCTTTCATCACTTGAATCCACGCTAATTGATATGAGGCTGCCCTTCCCTGGTGCATCTTATCTGAGGATCTGAGTGCTGTGCACCCTCTAATTATACTTCCCAGCACCTGTCTGAGGTGAATGACTAATATTCACTGAATTTCTGTAGAAAGCAAAAATGAGGGTGCAATCCTGGCCTGAAATTTCCCCAAACTGCATGCTGGGACTGGTGAGAAGCAGCTAGGGTTTATTTCCTGTCCCTCATCCATACTTGTGGGAAGCCTTCGAACAGGCTCCTCAAAATATCTCCAAATGGGAGGTATGTTTCCCATACACAAAGGCAGCCTGGATAGCCTTGAAACTCTAGGACAGTGTCTCTCCTTGAGCTGATGGGAACTGTAAGCAATAAATGAGTGTACATTGATTTATCCTGTATTAGATCAGATACAAGATTCTCCTTTGCCTCCTGCATGGAAATTGCTGTAGCTTCAAGTGGAGTTTCAGTGTGTTCAGAGCAGAAAGTACAGCTCCAAGTGTTGTGTGGGGAACAATATTGATATTGTGTGTCTGTTTCTCCCACACAATGGGTTATGGCAAGTGGAAGAAGTCATCTTTAAACTCTGGGTTCTTACAAGAAAGGAACTGCATCCACTATTGAAATAAAAATTAATTACTGTGTACGTGTTGGGGGCAACAACTGCAACAGCCCAGTGCAATGTTTTCTGGAAGGATTGTTGGCAAACAGGAAGTTCTAGCTTGGAATGTTGATGTTTCAGCTGAGCCTTTGCTATTCTGGTTTCTGCTGCCTGAAGAGTAAAATGGTCAGAAAGACCAGAGCCAGCCTGGCCTCTTGGGTAGAAGGAGAATTGTTGAGGCATGTGTTGTGAAGGAGAAGGTGGCCCCAAGTGCCTAAAGAAGGTGACATTTCATTGCTGGTGAGGATGGAGGGGCTTGCCCAAAGTGTGAATGAGGAGGAGTGGGATTTTGGTCAAGGAAAGCAGTGACTGCCTCCCAAACTGTTGGTTGTGCCTCTCAAATGGGGTGTGGGGTTTTCTGGGGGGTTGTGCCTCTTCCCTGGCCTTGCTGCTGCAGGTTGGCCCCATTCCTTCGTGGTGAAACATGTGGAGGGGCTTCCAGAAGAGCTGTTATTCTGGTGATTGCCTGCTGGGAACTCAGGTGATGGTTCTGAAAACCATTATGGCATTAATGGGTGTTGCATACAACAAGTTCATATTTTTTTTTAAATAAATAAGTTCTTAGGCCACAGGTAGACAGGTGCTTTTGGGGGTGGCCTAAGAAAGTTGTTCTTTTGAGACATACGAATCCCCTGGATTGGAATGTGTTCAGGAAGTGATAAAATTCCCTCCTGTGTTGAATCTGGTTCCAGAATGTGTTTGTATCAGCAGGGAAAGAAATTCAGTCCCTCTGCTTAGTGCAAACTGCAGCTCATGGGGTCAGTGAGTCCCTACTCTTCAAACACCTCTGTTACCTTCTTCCTTCTGCCACTTGCTTTGGTGCCATCCGTGGATGAAAGAGATTTCCAGGTGTAAAACAAGTGTGTGCTCTCTGGTGGGCTGAGGGAGAGAGCAGAAAATAAATAAATGATAGATAAAATACCTGACCTTTGGGGAAAGGCTGTAGCCTCACAATCTCTTGGTAGCTGTGCTTCTTGGGGAGCTACTTCAGTTGCTGTGAATGCATCCTGGCTTTGCTACCTCTGCAGGAAAACAGGCAATTTGAAATGTAGTCAATCTGGTAGATGTAATAAATCCTTCAGGATCTGTAGGTTTTTCAATTTGTGTGAAAGTAAGGGTTTCAGAAAGGGTTATTTGGACTTGGGCACTGGTGATGAAATGCTGCAGCTAATTGATCTGAAGAAACAGGGGATGAGGGAACAAGCAAATCCTTGCAATGGACCTGGCAGATC